TCTTGACTCTCAAGACACACAACAATCTCTCTCCCCAAAAAGAAAAAAGAAAAAACAAACCCTAATTCTCTCTTTCTATCTCGAATCAGGAAAAAAAAAATCAATTGACTAATGTCTCCTTGATCCATCCTGATCTCAAGACAATTCTTTGCAACGTTGTTTTCTTGGAAAATTTCAGGGATGGGAAGGAGAAATTCATATTTTCGAGGGAATTTTGTTCCGTTGTTTTTCGTTTTTATCGTGTTGATTTTTCAGCAAGAAATAGTGATTTGTCAAGAAGATAGAAGCTTGGATAATCCCGCGGCTAATCGTCTCTATAACCAATTCGTCTTCGACAAAATATCGAATCTCACCGAAGTTTTTGAGGATGACATCAAAAGAGAGCTCGGATTTTGCATTACCAATGTGTTAGTTTCAAAAAATGTCATCAAAAGGCATTAACCTTATCCTATAGCATTGAAGATATTCATGTTATTGTCTCTGTTGCAGAAAAGAAGATTATAACGAAGCCTTTAATTTTTCTACAAAGCCAGATTTCTTAAACGCATGTGGTAAAACCACAAAAGGTATTATTTATACATCCTCTGTTTCATTGACAAAACAAGAAGAAACTTTTAAGTAAGATTATACATTTTGGTTTGAGAATAGGTGACATGATGCAGAGGATATGTACGGCTGCAGAAGTGAGGATATACTTCAATGGATTATTAGGAGGTGCAAAGAGAGCTACGAATTACTTGAAACCGAACAAGAACTGCAATCTATCTTCATGGATGTCTGGATGTGAGCCTGGATGGGCTTGTCGTACTGCTAAAGATGTGAAAGTTGACCTTAAAGACGATAAGAATGTTCCCGTAAGAACTCAGCAATGCGCGCCTTGTTGCGCAGGTTTCTTCTGCCCTCGTGGTATCACATGCATGATCCGTAAGTTAACCTTTTTCCATATTCAAAAAGATTGAGAGAGAATCATTTTCTGATCCATTTCTAATGTTGTTTTCTCACTATGATGTGAAGCTTGTCCTTTGGGAGCTTATTGTCCAGAAGCTACGCTGAACAGAACAACAGGATTATGCGACCCGTAAGTCTTGTTTTTGTTCATTTTTCTAAGATTGTCTTGAACATATGGTAAGATTAGCTGCAGGATTATTGTTTTTGCAGATATCATTACCAGCTTCCTTCTGGACAGCCAAATCATACTTGTGGTGGAGCTGATATTTGGGCTGATATTGGTAGTAGCAGTGAAGTCTTCTGTTCAGCTGGATCCTTTTGTCCTTCCACTATCGACAAGCTTCCTTGTACTAAAGGGTAACTAACTAAGAATGATTTTCATAACTTTCTTTCAACATTCATATTTTCTCTAATCAGGTAGACTAATCTTTTGTTTGCTCCAGACATTACTGCAGGACAGGTTCTACTGCAGAACTAGGTGAGTGATCTCTTTTGTCCAAACAACAGTACTTCTTACTATCAAAGATAACGAAGGAGAAGCAAAGAACGTGAACAGAGAACTTACGGTCTCTTTTCTCTGATTAATTTGCAGATTGTTTTAAGCTGGCAACGTGCAATCCAAGATCAACAAATCAAAATATCACAGCATATGGAATCATGCTTTTTGTGAGTCATAATTGATCTCTCCTTAGTTTCATGTACCTGTTGGTTACTGCAAAATCATTTGAGCCTTGGTTTTGTACTATGTAGGCCGGCCTAGGTTTCTTGCTCATAATCTTATATAACTGTTCTGATCAAGTGCTTGCGACGAGAGAAAGAAGGCAGGCAAAATCCAGAGAAAAAGCAGTGCAGAGTGTGCGTGATTCGCAATCGCGAGAGAAATGGAAATCTGCCAAAGATATTGCAAAGAAGCATGCAACCGAGCTGCAACAATCGTTTTCCCGAACATTTTCTAGGAGGAAATCTATGAAACAGCCTGATTTGATGAGAGGTTTAAGCCAAGCAAAACCTGGATCAGATGCTGCCTTACCACCAATGCCAGGAAGCAGCTCAGACATGAAAAAGGGAAAGAAAAAGGAAAAGAACAAACTAACAGAGATGTTACATGACATTGAACAAAACCCTGAAGATCCTGAAGGGTTTAATCTGGAGATTGGTGATAAAAACATTAAAAAGCATGCTCCAAAAGGCAAGGCCTTGCATACACAGAGCCAGATGTTCAGGTATGCTTATGGCCAGATTGAAAAGGAAAAAGCAATGCAGGAGCAGAACAAGAACTTGACTTTCTCTGGAGTTATCTCTATGGCTAATGATATTGATATAAGAAAGAGACCTACGATTGAAGTTGCTTTTAAAGATCTTTCAATTACTTTAAAAGGAAAAAACAAACATCTAATGAGATGTGTGACCGGAAAACTATCACCTGGACGTGTTTCTGCTGTGATGGGTCCTTCTGGAGCCGGGAAAACAACTTTCCTAACAGCTTTGACAGGCAAAGCACCAGGTTGCACCATGAGTGGAATGATTCTCGTAAACGGAAAAGTTGAATCAATTCAATCCTACAAGAAAATCATAGGTTTTGTACCTCAGGATGACATAGTCCATGGAAACTTGACAGTGGAGGAGAATCTCTGGTTCAGTGCAAGATGCAGGTAAGCCACATTTTTCTTAATGAAATTCAAGTTTCAACATCTGATTCAACAAGATGCATAATCCTTTGGTCACTACATACAGGTTGCCTGCAGATCTCCCAAAGCCGGAAAAGGTTTTAGTTGTAGAAAGAGTCATTGAGTCACTTGGTCTGCAACATGTTCGAGACTCTCTTGTTGGGACTGTGGAAAAAAGAGGAATCTCTGGAGGTCAGAGGAAAAGAGTCAATGTGGGTCTTGAAATGGTTATGGAACCATCACTTCTGATATTAGATGAACCAACTTCAGGTCTTGACAGTTCATCTTCTCAGTTACTTCTCAGAGCTTTACGTCGTGAAGCTCTTGAAGGAGTAAACATATGTATGGTTGTCCACCAACCCAGGTTCAACATATATACTCTCCCATTTTTTATTACTAAACAGACTATTAGATCTTATTCTCATTCATCATGTGTCTCTCTGCAGCTATACTCTTTTTCGGATGTTTGATGATCTAATACTTCTAGCAAAAGGGGGACTAATATGTTATCAAGGACCAGTCAAGAAAGTTGAAGAATACTTCTCGAGTCTTGGGATCGTTGTTCCTGAACGTGTGAATCCGCCTGATTACTACATTGACATATTGGAAGGTATACTAAAGCCAAGCACAAGCTCAGGAGTTACTTATAAGCAGCTTCCAGTTAGATGGATGCTTCATAATGGGTATCCAGTTCCTATGGACATGCTTAAAAGCATTGAAGGGATGGCTTCTTCTGCTTCCGCTGAGAACTCTGCTCACGGAGGAAGCGCTCATGGGAGCGTTGTAGGAGAAGACGGAACATCTTTCGCTGGAGAGTTCTGGCAAGATGTCAAAGCAAATGTTGAAATCAAGAAAGATAACTTGCAGAATAACTTCAGTAGTTCAGGTGACTTATCCGAAAGAGAAGTTCCCGGTGTGTATCAGCAATACAGATACTTCTTAGGAAGGTAGATCCCTTCCAAATACTTGAAAAATTCAATCAATTCACATAGAATCTTTTTCTTAAACTCGATGTGTTTGCTTTGCAGGTTAGGTAAACAAAGACTGCGAGAAGCAAGGACACTAGCTGTAGACTACCTAATACTTTTACTTGCTGGTATCTGCTTAGGAACGCTTGCTAAAGTGAGCGATGAAACATTTGGTGCCATGGGATATACATATACAGTCATTGCTGTTTGTAAGTAGAAACTTTTCAAGCTGCAACAACTTTGCTTCTTTCTTCAATAACCCTTTTCACCAATTTTCTGGTTTTTCAGCTCTCTTGTGTAAGATTACTGCATTAAGATCTTTCTCTCTGGATAAACTACACTATTGGAGAGAAAGCCGAGCCGGAATGAGTAGCCTGGCTTACTTCCTAGCGAAAGACACAGTTGATCACTTCAACACCATTGTTAAGCCGCTTGTTTATCTATCCATGTTCTACTTCTTCAACAATCCAAGATCAACAGTTACAGACAATTATGTTGTCCTAATCTGTCTTGTATACTGTGTGACTGGCATAGCTTATGCCCTGGCCATACTCTTCGAACCTGGTCCAGCTCAACTAGTAAGTGTCCATTGTCCAATCAATCATTGAGCAAAATGTTGATGATAGAACCAAAGACTCAGACCAAAAAGCTTTGTTTCACTTCTTGACCATAAAACCACATCTTCCTCTTTTTCTTTGTGCAGTGGTCAGTGTTACTTCCAGTGGTGCTGACTCTAATTGCCACCAGTACAAACGACAACAAAATCGTAGATTCAATCTCAGAGTTGTGCTACACGAGATGGGCTCTAGAAGCATTTGTGGTATCAAACGCTCAAAGGTTGCAGACTTGATCTTATCCTGTTATAAAACTCCATTGCAACGCATATCTCTGTATTCTTTAGACCATCTCGTTTACTCTTCTGTGTATATTTCAGATATAAAGGAGTGTGGCTTATCACTCGATGTGGATCGCTGATGGAGAATGGATACAACATCAAGCACTTCCCTCGTTGCCTCATCTTCCTGACATTAACCGGTATCTTGAGCCGCTGTGCAGCTTTCTTTTGTATGGTAACCTTCCAAAAGAAGTAGCTTTCCTTCTATACCTGCAAATCTGGGAAAACTCAAAAATACCAATTTCTTCCCTATACGCGTCAACTACTCTTGAAGAGAATCAATAGAGGAAATAGAGCAATCACAAAGGTTTTACAAGAAAGAACACATCATTTGCAGAAGATAATAGCCCCGGTACGCTGTTCATAGGTAGCTCCATCATCAGAGTTTAAGATTTTCTTACCTGTAATTCTTCATGTTGTACATCTTTCTTTTGTTTTAGATATAACATAGATCATCACTTGTTTCCTATCGATTCTGTTTTATACACCAAGTAAAAATGTAGAAGTATATAGAAGAAGCAATGATAAAACCTTCAAGAACTTCCATTACTTTCTTGGCTTAAAATTAATAACATTGTTAATTTGTTTTCCTTTCATCAGCAAGATTTTCAGATCTTAGGACAGCAGAAGAATTTAACTTATTGTTATGCACTGGAAACGAAAGTTGAAAAAAATTATTTTTCTTATTTCCAAATGAGATCACCCATGAACTTAAGTGCGGGAACCCCTCTTATTTCTGCGTCTAGCAATGGGGATTGGATCAATTTTAACCCAGAAAGTTCTGTATCGTTCTGAATAAGTCCAAGAACTCGCGTTTGTTCCTGAAATATCAACAACCATATCACATTAAAGTAAAAAAAGCAATGGCTATGCCTATTATATTTACTAAACTGATACTGAATTTAAATCAAAGTTCAGAGCTAAATAAAGTTACCTTTCGTCTCATGGAGCAAAATTTGCAATCGGATTCAGATTGAGGTAGAAGTTGATTAACAATAAGCCTGTGGACTGGCACATTTTCTTTTCTTAAAGATGCATGTAACCTTGAAGACTCGTTTATTGCCATAACCTAAAGGTAAAGACAATAATCGAGTGAATATACCCAAGATTTCGAGAAGAAGACCAGACTTCTATTCAAAATTATACTTAAGAACGTCGAAAATTAAGATTAAGAAGATAATTTACAAGCTAGGTGTTGTTAATACGAATTAATGAGCTTAGGAACAAGTAAAAGAATGGTGTTACCGTTGGGATGGTTACAATAACAAACTCGGTAGTGTTCGCATCACGGAAAACATTTCGAACTTTCTCCATTCTCTCTTTCAGTTGGTCTAACTCGTTAGGCTGTTATAGCAATGAATGTTCAGAATTTGAAAGAAGGTGAAGGAGAAGTAACGGTTCAAGTGAAAACCTATACTTACAAGTTCTTTTTGTTGTATCTCTTTTTTGCCAAAGACCGACTTAAAGGCTGAAGCTGCTGCAGTGATCTTCTTCTTGAGCTAAATAATAAAAAATCCATTTAGAAACAAGTACGCTAAACATATCAATTGTGTAAGCAAGCCACAGCCCAAGGCTATATTTCATCCACAAACCTTAGTTATTTTGCTAATGGATGAATCATAGAAGTCTGGGAGGGAAAGAAGCCGCAGAGTATGTCCCTGCAAGAAATTATTTGGAATCATCAGAGTTAGCAAATGCACCATACTCTAGGAGCAGTACAAAATTAGAAGAAGAACTAAAAACTAACCGTGGGAGCAGTGTCAAAAACTATACGTGTGAACCTACTGTATTCTGGTGCCTCCATAAATTGAAGAACCTGGAATGAGATCTCAACATTAGTAATTAACATGAAAAGTTTTCTCTTTTCAGGGGAGTTCTGAGAGGGATACGTGCCTTGGAAATAGCTGCTATTTCGTCAATACCAGGCGAGGCAGCGTTGAGCATATCTTCAAGATTTAAGTCCCCTAACTACCAAAAATGAACAATACATCTGAGACAATAAATAAAGTTTTCAATCATAATGGAGGTTTGATTGAAAACAACAATAGAGAAAACGAAGATGAACCTCGCCTGCAAACATTCCGAGCCCCATGCTATCCATCATATTTTTAACACTTTTATCGCCCGTCTGACGTTTAATTTCGTCCTTCATTATCTCAGGTGTTATCTGTTTCAACATGAGAAGAAAACTCAGCAACATATGCAAGGTATCCAAGAGTGTGCAGAGACACATAGTTTCTTAATCACCTCAAGAGCAAGAAGTGGAGAATCAACACCTTGAACAGGCTTTAGGACTCCTCCTGACAAGTCCTGGATTTCAAAACAAGAGATTAGCTGATGCCTGAAAACACGATCCAAGAGTAAACATAGAGAACCAAATCAAAAGCTGTTACCGTTACCTGGGAAAAAGAATCGCTCAAGGAGTGAGCAGGGTCAGTTGAAACCACAATGGTAGGATGACCGTGGCTAGCAAACTTAACCGCAAGAGAAGCAGCACAGCTTGTTTTCCCGACACCTCCTTTACCACCCAGAAGATAAAACTTCCGCTGATTCACAGATACCATCTCATCAAAACGAGAAGCTCCTTCAGCAAGAGTAGCTAATGATCTCACTACAAAAACAAGCGAGAAACCAAAAATCAAATGACAGAAATTTCTATATGCAGTTTTAACAGAATCCACTGTTTCCATGGATAAAATTGCAGATTCAACTACATGTTTCTCATGATAAACCACAACTTATCTTTTCAACCATCAGTAAAAGAAAGTTATCATCTTTCAACTCCACAGAGAATCTAGAAGTCATGTCATCACTCCAAGAGGAGACAAAGATCAGATATTTGCAATTAATAACGTTCCCAATCAACAAGAGTTCTTACAATAGCAAATAAGAATCAAGTCCAAAACTCAAAACCAAAATTGGATCTGAAACCACAGTCAACTCTGTCATAAAGTTTGACTTTTTTTCCAGAGAAAGTAACAAGGGCTACCTCGAAAGAGTGTTCCAGAGATTCTGCCACCGTGAATTTGAGCATTGAGAGAATTGAAACCCAGAGCTCCTGCGACCCGGTGGAGAGAGATTGAGCTAGTAGTTCGCGAAACACGATTGAGAAGAAGTAAAGCCGCCATTGACGAATTCAGAAGAGAAAAAGGGAACAACTTTTCCCGGTTAATGGAAATCACACTGTTTCGGTTTTGGACGGAGCCGTCGACGGAGGAGGAGGGGTTTGCGAGGGTCTTAGGAAATAAAATATTTTTGAGAAATCGACAAACTTATTCATTCCTAGTTTTTTTTAATAGTATAAAATAAAAAAAAAATATGTTAAAAGTTGGAGTAATCAAATTTGAATTTTTTTTTTAAAAATATGAATAATGTTCTTATTCATTCATTTGAAGTTGGAAATATAGAGAATTTTTCTTCAGCTATTAAATTGAAAATGAAAAATAAAGTACCATAAAAAAAGCCCTTACAGGTTACAATTCAACCTAATTGGTCATAATAAATTACGAATGATTAGTGAGCTAAAATCATAATCCAACTTGTACTTTAATGGATTAAAACCATAACTAATCCATCACCAAAAACCTAATCTTTACGTTCCAACAAAGGTCCATAATAATCATAATTAAACTGGATATTAAAAAGTATATGTAAAAATGAAAATTGTTTTTAAGAAAAAAAAAAGGTCCAATATTATAGTACCCCCACAACTCTCTATCTCAATGACGGTTAAGAGCAGCATCAGCTTTGAAAACTGCTTCTCGTCTTCCTTCACCAAACAACCTCTCACGATCGCTCTCTTCTTCATCTTGAAGCCTAAGCCAAATATATTTCAATATGTCTCATTCTTCTTCTCTTAACCTCCTTCATTACCATTACCTTCCTCCTGATTTCAACCATTCTCTCCGGTTCTGTCTCACTGCTCCATCTTCGTCTCGCTGGTCTAGTCCCGACGACTACTGCTCCATCTTAGCCATGCCCACCACAACTCTCCCTGGCTCTATCTCTCCCTTCAATGTCCCTCATAGTGTTGTGAGTTTTACTTTCTTTTGAATTACGTACTTCCTTCTGATCAATTCATATGTAATATAAATTGTTTAATTTGCATACGATTTGTTAATTCGTATCATTCAAATGTAGATTAACTAATTGTTTGCATACAAGTCCAATTATATATGAATCTTAAATCTAGTGGTTACCTCAAAGTTTTCGAGTTAATTAGGGTGACATCACGTCGGAGTAAAAGAGTTGTATTAACCTTCATATATAAAATCAGTACGTGTGTTTGTCTTATGAAAATGAATTGATCGACTTTAACAAAAAAAATTGAATTGATCGTAGCATTAATGTCACATTAATCTGATCAGTTGCTTTTGCATAATTCCATTGTTGTATGAATGTCTATGTTTTGAACTATTTTTCTCATTAGTAAAAACGAAGAATCTATGCTTACTGTTTTTTATTTTTTGGAAATTTGTTGATGTGTATAGAGGACGAAAAAGCTAAATGGGCAGCAGAAAAAGGAAGAAATAGAGAAAGAGGTATGGGAATCCATTAAAATTAGCTTACCTATATGTATGTTTATGTCTAGGCAAACATCAAGGGATGTTGATATAAATATGCATCTAATTCGATACATAGATCAAGGTATTATAAGTTTTCAGTTCAATTTTATCTTTGTAATTGTTTTTTTTTTTCGTTTTAGAAATACATAAGATCGATTAGCTCTCATGCTTGGTATTATCATTAAGAAGTAACCAAAATGACAGATTATGGTATTTCTGATTCTACATTTGTAGTTTTTTTCACTTTTTTATGAGGTTAATATTTTTGTAGTTAATGAAAAAAAAAAAGTTCATTGATTAATAATTGTTAGGTATGGATGTTACGAGAGATGCTGGATCAAGAAGAAAAGACACGTGAGATATTGGAACAAGTCCAAAAACATCAACTTCCTTCTTCTTCCTCTTCCATTACTCTTCCTCCTTCTCTCCCTCCCAAGGTACGTTTTTATTAGTAACACATATACGTCTACTGTTCCCAAGTTTGGATAGAGTGAAAAAACAGCAAAACTTTAATATATATGTGATGATAATAACATCATACACATATTTCTGGTAACGTCACTTTTAAACCAAGTCTCAGGTCAACCAAAAAATAGAATTGTTAATTAATATTTGTCTAAAATCAAACAAAATTGTTAGACCCCCTAACCGGGCAAAGGCGCATAATCATAAACAAAGATATATACATTTGTTGTGAAAAGAAATAAACTCGTAACATTTTATTAGCGATTAAATATTTAAATAAGTTACCTTATTTTAACTCAGATGAAGGAACTAATAACGGAACTATCGATAGTAGAAGGAGAAATCTCAAGACTAGAAGTTCAAATAAGTCATCTTCAGATAAATCTCAAGCAAGAACAAGACGAAACTTTGAAACAAGCAACAACGAATTCATCAAGACGAGCATGGCAAACTAGTGAGAGTTACAATGATGACAACATAACCCCTTATCAAGCTCCAACATTACCAAAATACCCTAAGCTATCACCTCCAAGCCCTATGGTAAACAAAGGCATAATGAAGAGTGAAAACAACAACACCAAATCTACTACTAGTCATCATCAAGAGAATGCAACATTTGGTACAAAGACATTACATTTCATCAACAAAGCTATAAAAGGTGATTACGCGACAGAAAGCTTCCGCAAGTCTAACGAGAAAGTTGGAATCGTTGAGAAGGAAAATCATAGGTTGGTACAACATGAAAATAAGTTGCAAGAGAATATGAAAATGAAAAAGATTAGGACGATGAAATCACCATCGCCTCTACGTGAACCTAGATATTCCTCTCCTAACAAGGTCCGATTTTCATATGTTTAATCAAACATATGTTTGCTTCGTTCAATTCAATCTTGATTTATGCTTATGATTTGTTTCAGCCTAATAAGGATCGTGTAGCAGCACTTGATGTATCACTAGACATTCCACCAAAATCTCTATCAAGCACAATCTTGATGGAAGATGGCCAAAACATACAGAAGTGGCACCCAAACAAGCTCGCCGAGAGCATCATGAAGTGTCTCAATTTCATCTACGTTCGTCTTCTTAGAACCACAAGAGTCATGGAGCTAGAGAAAACAGGACCCATCTCGAGATCAACTAATTTCTCTTTGAGCTCAAGAAGCTTTAGGGTCGACAATGCAACCTCAAGCTTGTCTAAATCCATGAATCTTATGTCTTCTAAGGAATCAAGACAACAAGATCCTTACGGAATATTTGATGTAGAAGCATCTTTGGCTAGAGACATTGGTCCTTACAAGAATCTTGTTATCTTCACTTCGAGTTCTATGGATTCCAAGTGCATTTCAAGCTCTAGCTCCGTTTCTTTAATCCAGAAACTCAGGTAAGTTTTGGGAATTTTTTTGAGAAAATGTTTATTTACATCGGTGAATCTGCAAAATATCATTATGAACAAAATGCAGGGTATTGATGAACAATCTTGAGACCGTGGATCTAAAAGTGTTGAGCCATCAACAAAAGCTAGCGTTTTGGATCAACATGTTCAATGCTTGTGTTATGCATGTAATATATACACTCTACTTCTTTGATATTTTCACTGACTACAAACAATTTTACTATTTCTTATTATTTTTTTCATGAATTATAAACTAACTACCATATACTCAACGCATATGACCAGGGATATCTACAACATGGAGTTCCAAAAACTGCTGAGAAATTGCAATCTCTTGTTTACAATAAGGTATGTTTCTCTGTTTCTATATATCCTTCTAATATAAACACTAATTAAATTTAATTCAAATTTGATATAACAAAGTATAAACTATAGGCTACAATGAATGTTGGGGGCAAAAACATAAGCGCTCATACCATAGAGCATTGTATCCTAAGGAAGTCTGCAACTTCTACCATGAGTCAGGTATATACATATCTATCATTTCAGTCTATATTAATTCTCTTCATGTTTATCCTAAGATCAAATTCACTAAGCCGATATATATTCAAATATAACCGTATATAGGATCGACACGAAGAAATGACTATCCGTAAACTATATGGCGTAGAAGCAACGGATCCTAACATCACATTTGCTCTCTCTTGCGGAACTCGATCTTCTCCTGCGGTAAGTTTATATATTCATTCACTTTTAATAGGGCAATTAATCCATACCACTCAATAGTTGAATATTTATACTTCAATAGTTCAATTGGTGATTTATTAGTGTACCTGGTATTGTTCATATTCACTATACATTGTTAAGATTATTAATAAGATTATCATAATTTAATCTTAATGTTATATGGTAAAATGATAACGGCATGATGTACAAATGGTTGAAATCTGTAAAACTAAAAAAATTGAAGGTGAGGATATACACTGGAGAAGGAGTGACAACGGAGCTAGAGAAATCGAAGCTGGAGTATCTGCAAGCCTCGGTGGTGGTTACGGCGGCTAAACGGATAGGCTTGCCAGAACTTCTCCTGAAACACGCCGCCGATTTCGTGGTGCCGAGGGTGGATGGTGGTGGAAGTATTGGAGAGATAGAGCAGTTAGGGCCTCTAGTGAAATGGGTTTGCAACCAATTACCAACCTCTGGATCATTAAGAAAATCAATGGTGGATTGTTTTAAGAATCCAAATTCCAAAGCTTCTTCTTCCTCCTCGGCCGTCGTTGAGAAGATATCTTATGACTTCGAGTTTCAGTATCTTTTAGCCATTTAGGGTATTACTACTCATTTTTATTCGTTTATTTGTGAAAATGTTGTGTTTTCAAATAAAAATATCAAAGTTTGTATTAATTTTTATGAATGTTTGATTGTAATACTGACATGTAAATGTTTGATCATAACCATCTTACATCTTATGATCATCCCGAGTAATGAGATTGATATATATTAATCAAACCTTCTAACGCAATGTGTAATATTTTCAAATACTTTTTCATTTTATATTAAAATGTACTTGACTTACTAATTTTTTTGTTTCTTTTGTTAAAAGATACAGAGACACATAGTTCCTAAGCAAAACCCATCTTGCTATTTCTCAATTTTTTTATACTTTTGTTCACATTATCTACGTATGGAGTTAGCTAGGAACTATTTATTATTTAAAAAAAAAATCTATTTATCTAAGATGTTGTCACTCGTCAGCATGAATTAGTACTGCACGAAATTACGAATTCTTATTAAATAATTTTTTTAATTTGTAGATAGATCCAGGTTTTAATATT